ATATATATATATATATATATATATATTTTAAAATACGTGGTCGCGTATTTTAATTGACCTCCTGACTTTTTTAATTGAACCTCATATATAAAAGAAATATAAGAAATATATATATATATATATATATATATATATATATATATATATATATATATATATAGAGAGAGAGAGAGAGAGAGAGAGAGAGAGACTTCCTGATTTTTAAACTTAAAAGAACTTCATGTTATTATTATTTTTACTTTTTTTCTCACGTGTATTGAGCATTTTTTAATACTACTTTTCCCTGGTCTGATTCAACTCCTCAGTGGTGATAAGCTGGATCTATACTGAGGTATTTTATGTAGATGTTATATGCATATATTTGTATCTATACTGAAATATTTTCTGTTGATGTTATATGCACGTATGTGTGTCCGGATGTTCGTATATGTATGCGATTGCGTGTGTATCCGCGAGTTTTTGGGATTACATGTATTTCAGTGTACACATGAATGCGTCTGCATATCTATATGTTTGTGAGCCAGTGTGCGTATCTTTCTGGGTGTGTAGATGTATCTGTTTTCCTGTATGTGTGTCTATGTGTGTATGTATGTTTGTATGTGTGTTTTCCAGCGTATGTGTGTCTGCGGTGCAAATTTGGGGATTATTTTTGTCGCTGTGATTAATCGGAATATTTTTGTTCGACAGCTGAATGGACGGAAGTGAGCGACCATTAGCGTAATTCAATACCGCGCCACCAAACGTACAATGAAGCTACAAAGGGAGATAATTTACTTCTCCGCTCACCATGTGATTTCGAAACAGCACATCAAAAAGACAGGTTCTTTTATGAACATCTGAGAAGCGTGGCGTTGGAACATGGCAATTAGAAGTCTCAATCATGCACTCATACTGTCACTCTCAGACAGGTAGACCCAAATCACTAAGTAGGTATCTCTCACACACAAATTTATATGCTTATTTAATGAGCAGCTTTGTGTATCAATATAATATGGAACTACTTAAATAGACTGGTCCACTCATAAAAACAGGGACAATTTTTGGAGGAAAATAAATTTTGGTGATTAACGTTTTTACACCTTCCATAGGCCGCGACACAGTAGAAAAATATTGATTTGTTATCGATTCAGAAGGAGGTTCTTTTTTTATAATATCTATACAGTGTCAAATTGATATCTGATTTTTAAAAGGTTACTAACCTTGAGCTATGTCATTGAACAGCTATTTACAAATGTCAAGTTTGGAAATGTGCTAACATCATGAAATGTTGAGGAAACATCAGGTCTACTGCATAAACCAATTGTTTTAGGTGGCTCCACAGATAAAAGTCCAGAGGATTAGTGTCGGGGGAACCTGTCCTAGCCTAAACTATCCACCTTTCATGGTAGATGCCAGCCAGAGCATCGTGAACAATATGACTAAAATGTGCTGGAGCCCTATCATGCGCAAATCACATTTGTCTTCTTATTAGCACGCGTATATCCTCTAGCAAGCCCGGAAGTGTGTTCGAACACAAGTTCCTGTATACAGCACCTATAAAACGACTTGGGAGAACATATAGACCTACCAGACATCACCTACAATCCCAACCCACAAATTAAATGCAAACTGATACTGGTTTCTAGCCTACATTCTATCATGGGGATTCCGATTTTGTTATCCCATTTCTTCCAAATGTTGCCTGAACATGGCTGAAGAGACTAAACAACGGATCGGCAGATTGTGCAATACACCATCGGCAAAAGTTCTCCCGTGGCGAGTGATCAGAGGGTTAAAGACTCTGCGTATGTTGCAAATGATACGGATACAGGAGCCTGAAGTACCTTCCATGCGGTACTATGTGTTTTACGACATGCGCTGATGTCTGGATCGGCTTCGACTGCCTGTAGAATGTGTTCTTCATGGTCAGGCGTACGAGCAGATCTCTCTCTTCCTCGATCCATAATTTGTGATGCCACGGATTCTGTCTCAGCAAAGCGACAATAAACAGCACAAAATATTGGATGACTTGGCTGCTTTCGGCCTGGAAAACGCAATCTGGTACAGCCGTGTAGCTTCGCGTCCATTGTCATTCACGTAGCCGTATGTAAAAAATATCCGTTTGCTCACGATATGAATATCCTGCTATTTTTAAACGGTGAAATTCTCAGTTACCTCACTACTGTACACGTTGAACATTGACTAGACACAAATGTACACGAATGACAAATATAACCTAGTCTATATGACAACACAGCGCCATCTATCGTAAATTTTGTTGGAACTTAATAAATCAGAAACGATGCTTTTGCAGACATGTGTTTACATGGACATTAGTCTTTGTTTTTGCGCGAGGAACTCCTCGTATATGCTTGTAAAAGTATTTTGATAAAAGAACTCAATATCAGAGATAGAGTCTATGTAAATATAAAACTGGACACACATGTCAACACCAATTATCGCCAATCTGTTTCATGCTTCAACACAGTCTTCAGGTCATGTGTGTTCCGTTTTGGACTGATTATTTATATATATTTTCAGTGGTGCATTATGGGTTGTAAGGCCTATTATATTAAGATAATACAATTGTACTCTCCCAACATAATTTTATTGTATGGGATTTTTCGGAAGCACGTGAATAAACATTTGAGGTTCATAATTATTTGCCTTCACACAGGCCACGCCTACGTCCCCCACAATTATTTACTAGAGGGTACAGAATCTCCGATTTGCACTACACGCCAAGAGAAATTTACAATGAAACATATACTGTTAGAGTTTGTAGATTTTCATCTAGTGTGAACAAAATATTACCAAGTGAGTAATTTAAAAAAAAAAAAAACAAAACTTTTACGAAAATAAAACCATCCAAGATTATAAATTTCCTAAAAGAAGTTGGAGTTGGATTGTACTAAAAAATACGAGTAATTCATCGAATAAATCATATATATATATATATATATATATATATATATATATATATATCAGCATATATATATATATATATATAAAACTACAATGTTTTTGGAGGAAGGTCTTTTTAAATACATTTTCCTATGAGAAATTTTTACACACACACACACACACACATATATATATATATATATATATATATATATATAGAGAGAGAGAGAGAGAGAGAAAATTGTATAATTCAACATTAATTGTTCTTTTAAATACGTTATATTAAAAAGCGTGGACAGTGTATGTTTATTCAATGTATCGGTCGTTTATTGCAAACTGCCAATTTCCTTCCGCAAACCCGCCTCTGTAGATATAAAAAATCACTTTACTTTTTCTCATCCCACTGAAGATAACTCTTGTGAATCGAAAGCTCTGCTATGTCTTCGATTTGTGATATTTTTTGCTGCAGACAAAATTACGGAAGTTAATTTGCACTTTTGAAAAAAAGACGATACGTATATTGAATAGACATAGGTATTTAATATATATATATATATATATATATATATATATATATATATATATATATATATGTTGCTTTTCAGTCAATTTTAATCTGCTAAAATATAAATATAATGTCAATCGCTATCTACTGTCCTGCTGATTACTCTATTATTCTTCTTAATTATTAATGTTTCTCTGTTCCGAATTCTTCCATAACCTTTAACCCCTTGTGTTTTAGTGAAATTACTGCTTAGCCTGGGGTGATTCCAATTAATATATATATATATATATATATATATATATATATATATATATTTGTGCATTTAGGCAGCAAATTCTCTTTTCGGCATGTCTGAATGAATAAATTACAGATATTATAATTGCTCATTTTTAATAAAATCCGTTCATACTCACGAATAATCTTCCGTCTATTGATATTAAATGATAAGAGAAATGTGCTATAACTGTATAAATATCTTTTATTTTCATTTCCCAAGTACTTTCGATCTTCTTCCAAGATCATCTTCAGGGGTGCAAGTGGCACAAAACTATATGTTGTTCATTAGTATAAGTATTTATATAAAGTTGTGCGTTGTTATCCATTACCGTAATTTTTTCATGACGCATTTAAATGCAAAACGGTTGACGATGTGCGGATCGTTCATCAGAACGTGAATATATATATATATATATATATATATATATATATATATATATATATATATATATGTACAAATCCAAAATGTTAACCAATAGACTACCTGCCAAGATAGATAGATAGATAGATAGATAGATAGATAGATATGAACAGACTTAGATATATAGATAGATATGAACATACAGAGATAGATATGAACAGATAGATAGATAGATAGATATATAGATAGATAGATAGATAGATAGATGTGTGTGTGTGTGTGTTTTTGTGTTTATACTCAATTTTCAAATTTCCGATCGGACAAACGCGTAAACAATGAGCTTTATATGTTTCATATATATATATGCATGTAAGTATATTAATATATATGCGAATGTATGGACCCAAGTAATTATGATAGCATCGCGGGAAGCGACCAAATGACGCTGCTTCCAAAAGATCTCGACATCGTTTTAATCAACCAAATAATCAAACCGCTTTCATTATGATAGCCACCTATCGCCATCTTTAAATCTTGCGGCAGCCGACATTTTGTCTTCAATTTGCCGCCTATAATTTGGCGGGTAAAGCTTTCATCTTCCCGACTATCTCTTCCTGTTCGATCACACTTAATCATATTCCAGTCTTTTTCCATCACCACCGAACCGCCAGGATTCTCATCATTACCGTTTCTATAAATACTGTCATTTTGATTGCTGCTGTTGTTATGCAAGTATTTTTTTAGTTTTTATTCCCTCTGTTGATAGTATTAAAATTATTATCGTTATTATTAAGATTAAAATTTTCCATTTCTTTAAGAAATCTTTTTTCTTTTTAGTTTTTTAAAATGTTTACTTTTATTTCTGTTCGCTTCGTCATCATTGTTTTTTTTTCTTTCTTTCTTTCTGCATTAAATTCCTGAATATTTAATTTTTGGTTACTTCTCTTTCACTTTCTCTTTCTTATTCTTCTTTTTATGATCAGTTTATTTTTCACTTTCTTTTTTATTTTTCATTTTTCTTCTTATTTTTCTTTATTCTTCTTTTTTCTTTCTATAAATCTTATATTTTTTCGTTCTTTCTTTTTTTATTTTATTTTTATCGTAGTTTTTCTTCTCTATTTCTTTTTAAACTTTGTCTTTTTCTTTTAATTTTAATTTCGCTTCTTAGTATTGTTTTCTCCATTCTACCCATTTTCTTTCTTTCTTCTATTTCTTTCTTCTATTTCTTTTCTTTTTCTTGTACTCAAATTTATTTTCTTTTTCTCCTGATTTTCATATCTTTCTTTCTTTCTTTCTTTCTTTCTTTCTTTCTTTCTTTCTTTCTTTCTTTCTTTCTTCGTTCCAACACCAATTGTTTCTTTCTGTTGTAAAATTCGCTACACTGATGTTTTTTCTTTCTTTCTTTCTTTCTTTCTTTCTTTCTTTCTTTCTTTCTTTCTTTCTTTCTTTCTTTCTTTCTTCTGTTACTTTCTTTCTTCTGTTACTTTTGTTTTTCTAGTACATCTTTTCATTATTATATTTATTTTTCTTCGAATTGCCCCCTTTTTCTTTTCCTTCTTCATATTTCTCCTTCCTTTCCTTCTTAGCATATTTTTTCAGTTTCTCGTACTCCTCGTTCATCCGGTTCTAAGCCATTATATTCTCTTTCATTTTCTCTTTTCCGAGCATCCTTTGCCACTTTCTAATTTGTATCCACTTCTTCTTCTTCTTCTTCTTCTTCTTCTTCTTCTTCTTCTTTCTTTCTTTCTTTCTTTCTTTCTGTCTTTTCCTTTTGTTATCAACATATTCCGAAGTGTAGTTTTTGTTCGTTTGCCTTGACGAGACTTCTTCATTAGCTACGTGTTTTCACTCGACTGGCGCGTCTTGAGAAAGGAAAGCGCTAATTCAAAGAATCCCGTCTCTTTAAATGAAACGCTTAAATCAATACTGCAAAAAAAAAAAAAAAAAAAAAAAAAAAAGCCAACAATTGCAGCAAATAAAACAAAACACCGAAGAGTGGAAGCGAAATTGATTATAATTTCGATTTCACTCGTGTTTTTCTAATGATTAGCACGAATAAGTGACGTCATTAGAAGCGAACTGTCATTCATTGTTTATAGTCTTTTCTTGTTGCTTACTTCACCGGATTTATATGCACAAACCGATTTCTGTGGATGCAGATGGAGAGCTTCCATTGAATTTGCCATGTGTGAGCGTTTCTCCCATGATTACAACTCTCATTCAACATATTAAGTAAACTTGATTTGCTCGAATCTGTTTATGAGGTCTGGATTCTAAAATATGGATGTGTATCATTTCCCTTTCTCTCTTTACACACACACACACACACAGACACACACACACACACACACACACACACACACACACACATATATATATATATATATACTAAGAGACAGAAAGAATGAGAGAGATAGTCTGATAGCATATATATATATATATATATATGTGTGTGTATATATATATATATATATATATATATATATATATATATATATGCATACATACACAGGGTGATTGAAAAGTAACTCCTTATATTATGTGTGATAGACTCTCCCATCTTCTAACAATTATAGTTAGACAGAGTGAGTCCATTATATATATATATATATATATATATAACCGAATGGGTAAATAATGGCAGATGTATGAGCGAGCGATCGTGTACAAATGCATATAAATACTCTACAGCGTAAGAAAAGACAGTGCTCAACGTTAAATAACACACACACACACACACACACACACACACACATATATATATATATATATATATATATATATATATATATATAACAAACAAACATACATAACAGCTTACATTAATTACACAACTCCGAGTTTCATGCCACAGCAATTTTCAAGTGCTGGAAACTTAAAATAAAATAAAAATAAAAAAATAATAATCCTAGCAGAATGAATATAAGGTACTATGTATACTTCTTAATATATATATATATATATATATATATATATATATATATATATATATATATATATATATATATGAAGAAATATGGTTTTAAGGTGTGCTATATTTATGGTATAAAGTGCTCAATATCAGAGATAGGGTGTATGTAAATATAAATATAAAATTGAACATTGAAGTCAACACTCAGAGGCGAGCGACAGGCTGTTACATGTCGTCTTCGAGTGATGACTTCAATGTTCACTTTTATATTTATATATATATATATATATATATATATATATATATATATATATATATATATATATATAAAGGACATAGAGAATGAGATAGATAATTATATATAAAACGGTCTAATGCTTGATGCTTGATAGCATAGCAAATATTATTGATAGGAAAAGTGCTTCAATCTGAGGATTTTGTCCAAAAGTATTATACCAGTATCATAAGAGTGGTTTTAGAATTCATTTAATTCATTAAAACGCTTTTTAATATTTTTTATGTTCAAAATTTTTATTATAACACATATATTGTAATTTTTATTTTTTAATAAATAATAATAATAATAATAATAATAATAATAATAATAAGAAGAAGAAGAAGAAGAAGAAGAAACCATGGCAAGATAAACCGCTTCATGGCCAATAACCTGCCCGTACAAAACAAGCTGACGTAGACAAAACCCGTACCCATCAGTGGCTACGTAGTGCAGAGTTGAAAGCTGAAAATAAAGGTTTTATCCTTGCTGCACAGGAGAAATGCTTGTTAACTAGGAATTATCAAGCACATATACTAAAATATTGTGTCAGCCCAAAATGCAGATTCTGTGATAAATATCCAGAAACGATTGATCATCTTGTATCAGGTTGCACGATATTGGCACCCACTGAATATAAAACCCGACATGACAGTGTGGGCCAATATCTGCACTGGAAAATCTGCAACTTTTACGGGAAGGAAACTGAAAGAAACTGGTATGAACGCCACCCAGACCCGGTTACGGAGATAGGACCTGTTTCCATTCTATGGGATTACACAATACACACTGACAGAACAATCAAAGCCAACCACCCAGACTTTGTTATTAGAGACCACAAACAAATAAAGTGCCTCCTTATTGACATGGCAGTCCCTGCAGACTGCAATATATCTTTGAAGATATTCAAAAAGCTGTCAAAATACAAGGACCTTGAAATAGAAATCTCAAAAATGTAGCACATGGGAACATCAACAATTCCTTTTGTAGTTGGAGCCCTAGGACTGGTTGAAAAAGATTCCAGTAGACTAATTGAAGGGATTCCTGGAAGTCCATGCCTCAAAGAACTACAAGAAATTGTTCTCACAAGTACAGTCCACACATTACGAAGGTTTTTGTCTATGTAATTTTTTTTCCAGTGGAAAGTGTCATGATGCCATTTCTAACCTTAAGTCCCTGGGCGGGACCCGGAAAAAATGTGTAAACGCCAGAAATCAAATATAATAATAATAATAATAATAATAATAATAAATGTTTTGCTGCTACAGAGGAATGTGTGAATGACGGGGGCAAATTGTTTGAACATTTGTGCGATTGATATATATATTATTGATATGTTTATTATTGATATGTTATTACAAATATGTTTTCTTAATCAATAAAATACGTTCTGTGTGCAAGTTTTGTTTTTATTACTGTATACCTACTTTTGCACGCCCGGTATACATTAATAATAAATATACATTTTTCTTTTGATACAACTCTGAGTTTTATGCACGTGGCAATCATCAGGCACATATTCAAAACTGTGCTATTTTATAAATACATTTATTGCCATATTTACGTCGTTTCGGCCGTTGTACGCTTCAGCCTTCTTCAGGATCTGTCTATATTTCTGAGATGATGTATTGCAATTATTCACACTATTTACATTGCACTGACTATTGCCCTCATCTTCGTTGCTATATTCACGTCGTTTCGGCCGTTGTACGCTCCGGCCTTCGTCAGGTGATTCGAATTGTGAACTGAACCCTTTATTTCATTCACCAGGGTAGAGTATTCTAGTTCCAGGTGCCATGTCTCTTCCGGATGTCTCAGCACCAGTTATCTCCCTTTCACTCAACTTTCCAGGTTTTTGTTCACCTCTGTTTTAACCAGGTATTTAGCTCACAACTCTTTGGGTTAACGAAACTTAATGTACAAACTGATTTCTTCCAAAGAATACAGTTTTAAGCATTTCACCCCAAGAATGGCGGGAGTGCCGCTAGCAGGCATGGGGTTAAGGAGAGTGAGGGCCAGAGTAAAGAGGGGGCGTTTGAGGAAAGGGTTTAGAGAGGATGGGGATCAGGGTATAGGTATCAGAAGCTGTCGATTGGCATTACATTTGAATATTTGAAGATTATAGCTATCAGGGAAGCAAGTAGAAGGAAAGGAGTTCCACTGTCGAGAAGTGCGAGAAAAGAAGCTGTTGGAGTAGAAGAGGTGGTTACTTTTAACTCTTTCAACAGTGAAAGTGTGGGACCGAGATGCCAACCTAGTAGCATGCTTAAATTCATCCAGTTGGTGCACCAGTGAAAGTAGTTCGTCAGAGCAGTCGCCATGAAAATATTTGTAGAAAAGACAGAAGGAAGCCACATCCCGTTTGTGAGAAAGTGAGTGTAGATGAGATGCCAGATCAGGATCTATCACATAGCATATCCTCTCTGGAGTTTGTCGAAGGCATATATATTCTATTCATACGAACCTATCCTTAAAACCATGTCGGCATTAAATAACTCATTGAGGTTGATATGCCGTAAAACGAAATAAACCAAACCAAACCAGTGTTCCTACTCCGTTCACATCCACCGCTGTTCTTTGTGATTTGGCCTGTTCACTTTTTATATTATTGCGCAAATGCCACATTTCCTTGAACCGCCTCCACCAGTCAAAACACTCGATTACTTCGTAACATGTTCATTACAAGTCATTTTAATAAGGCTAGCGTTTCGCTCGTACTATTACCGAACTTCACACAAAACCTGATGCTCAATGTTCTTTTTACTAATTTTTCGCCAACCGTATAACAGGAACACGTACGACTTTTATTGCTTGACAACGAATGACTCATCTCGTTAGTGTCTTAACACTATGAAAGCTGGAACATGTTTACACATGCTCGATTACAAACGTCTGCCTCACTCACTATTCCGGCAACATGTGGTGGTCATTCCGAGAAATAAATTATTACACCTCTAATATATAATTTAGGATTTGATGAATATTAGCACTTCGTGAAACAACATGCAAGCTGAGATTAAATTCTTTGGTTTTTTTTTCTTTACGCTTTCCTTGCAAAGGCATTAATCCTTGTTCCCTTGTAATCTGATATCTACAGAAATCTGTCTCGTCACTGACATCTTTGTATTTGTGTTGTGTAGAGAGAGTGTCAAACCTTCTGTACACTATTTGAAACATGGACTCGTCCATGCGTTATGCTACTCATGGAACAATAGGTGGGTCGCTAAAGCGTAGCACTTTTAGTGGTACTGAAGTAATACATTCTCAATCCATGTAATCATTTGATTAACACCTTCTTCGCTCAGAGGTACCTCGAGGTGGTGTAATGGTTAGCAAGCTTGTCTCGCTAGAACAATTTTTTTTTTTTTTAAACATTTCACCCCAAGCAAGGCGGGAAGCCACTAGGACGCAAGGGGTTACAGAAAATTTAGAGCAAGATCAGATAGGAGTGATAGAAGAAAGGACGAGGAGAAGGGTAGTGGATAGATCAAGGCAACTGGAGATGTCGATTGGCATTACACTTGAATAGCTGGAGATTATAGTTCTCAGGGAAACTGGAATAGGGAAGGGAGTTCCACAGGCGAGAGGTGCGAGACATGAAGCTATTGG